TAATATTTAATATAATTATAAAATAACTCATTAAATTACAAAAAAAAATTATATAAAAAAATTATCTCCAAAATCACTTTTTTCTTCGCTACACTACTTTTCTGAAGTTTCAAAATTCTTGGCCCCTAAACAAACGAATTCCATTGGTCAGCAGGCATATCACACGGATCCTAATCCGTGTGACTCTTCTTCATGCACCCTCCACCGACCGATCAAAACCCCGCCCTCTTTTTACCCTTGAATTTTTTTGAATCCCACCAAAACTTTCAAATTCCCCCGCCTCTCACCACTATAAATTAAAACATCCCGACCGCCGTTTCATTTCATCTCTCAAGCATAAATTTTCTGAGATTTTCCCTCGAGCCAAACAGCAGGTGTCTCTTTCTGATTCTTCAATGGCTCGTACGAAGCAAACCGCTAGGAAGTCGACCGGAGGGAAGGCGCCAAGGAAGCAGTTGGCGACAAAGGCGGCGAGGAAGTCAGCACCGGCCACTGGCGGAGTGAAGAAGCCTCACAGATTCAGGCCTGGGACAGTGGCTCTGCGTGAGATCCGGAAGTACCAGAAGAGCACGGAACTGCTCATTAGGAAGCTGCCCTTCCAGAGGCTGGTGAGGGAAATCGCGCAGGATTTCAAGACGGATCTGAGGTTCCAGAGCAGCGCTGTCGCGGCCCTTCAAGAGGCGGCTGAGGCTTATTTGGTGGGGCTCTTTGAGGATACCAACCTCTGCGCTATTCATGCCAAGCGGGTAACTATTATGCCCAAGGACATCCAGCTCGCTAGGAGGATTAGGGGCGAGAGGGCCTAGGTTTAGCATGATTGTTTTACCTATCGCTTTAATTTCCTCTGTTTTTAGAATTTGGTCGAGATCTAATGGTATGGGATTGTACATCTGTAGGGTTTTGGTATCTTAATCTTTTAAATTCTGATAATTTCTAATGGTATCTTACTATGCTTCGTATCTGACTCAATTGATATATGCCAAAGATTTGGTCCTTTTTGAGCATATAAATCATTGATTTAGCAAAAGAATCCTAATGCTTCAATCTTATTGAAATGACTTAGTTCATTATTGATATTATCATTGTAATGATTTAGTTTATTATTGATATTGTCTGTTTTGGACTCTTGGATCTTATTATGTAACAACTTAACATGCTATTGATATTGTTTGTTTTGGTTCTTTGGATTTTACAATTTTAAAATGTGTCCATTGAAATTAACGGGTGATAATTTGTTTTGTTGGTGTAGGACTTGTTTTGGGGTGTTACACTCACATTAGAAGAAAAGTATGATTGTGAGTTATTAAACACCATAGTGAGTTGTTATATCAGTGACAGGTTTGGTGGTTGAGTGGTTTCAAGAATGCATAAAAAAAATCTGGGTTTTGGGTATCTTCGTTCGTGAGTACTGCCAAAGGGGAAAGATTCTATAAATTTGAGACATGTAGTACATACCTTTTCTATTTTTCATTTGCAGCCTGTCCCAGATGTGGATTCCTCATTACAGGGTTTTCCCACTGGGTAAAGACCAAATCTTGTTTCCCTGTTGATTGGTCTGCCTTGTGCTGCTTATGATTAGGCCCTTTTGCTTTTGCTTTTGCTTTTGCTTGACAGTGCCTTAATCGTATTGTCATCACATCATCCCTCCGTTCTCTCACACACACACCATATCATGCCTGCCTGGTTCTTATCATTTTTCAGGCAAGATTCTAAGTATCGATAAAAATGTCATGCCATCTGCAACAATGGCTCACATTCTGAGATGGCACACTAGAATTTGTCTCAGCTTCCCTGTGTACATTTGTGAATTAACCCCAAGTTGAATGTCCTTATTGGTGTGTGTGTGTGTATATATATATATATTTGTACTAAGGTTTGGTTAAATGTCCTTGGGGCTTCTGGTAGTTTTATATTTTCGGGTGCAATTGGAATTATGGTTGAGTTTTCTTGTGTAGTCGCACAA